TCTTCCGATCTAAAGATTGCACAAAAATATGTCAGATTTTGCATACGTGGAAAACTGGGGCGTACTGTGCCAGTTTTATTATCTAATGAGTTATTTGATTGTGTTACTTTAATTTTAAAATGGCGAAAAGAAGCTAACATACCAAGCAAAAATCCATATATCTTTGGATTACCTGGTTTTAATAACCATAGATACAAGTATCTTAGAGCATGCGTTCTAATGCGTAAATTTGCAGAGGAATGTAATGCAAGTTCTTCTACAACTTTGCGTGGTACAATATTAAGGAAACATATAGCGACGTATTGTATTCAACTGAATTTAAATGATGTTGAAGTTTCGGATTTGGCTACATTTATGGGCCATGCAGATAAGATACATAAAGAACACTACAGACAGCCACAGGCAAGCAGAGATATTTTAAAAATTTCTCAATATTTAGAAGCGGTACAAGGAGATGCACAAGATAACGAATCTTCATCAGATTATGAAGACGAAAATCTTAACGATTCTTTTAACGATATCGATTATAATGATACTACAATCGATATCGCTGCTACAAAAAGTAAGAAAAATTGTTTTAATGATATATAAAAAGTTTAATTAAATATACAATAATTTATACATTTTATGTTATACTGTACATTCATTGTCCGTATAGCAGTTTTTGTTTGTATCTTTAAATATATACTCTGCAAAATCATAATATCATTATTTATTTTAGATGTATCTTCGTGTATCATTCAAGAAGCATCTACGTCATACCAAGACAATAATAAAAAACGAAAAAGATCTAGTAAGTATTGCTTTATACTGCATATAAAAATTGCTCTGTTATGTAAAATATTGTATTATACTTCTTATTTTTGTTAGAATAATATATTATCGTATGGCATTTTAAAATAAAAAAAATTTTTGGTTTTTATGTTATACTATTGTATTAAGTACATATCACTTAATGCTAGTTTTATTCTTTTGTTTACAGTATGTGTACTATCACAATTAAAAACTTATTATTAATATATTGTATATATTTATTTCTTAATATTGATCCTTTCTAGCATTTCCTTACGGAAAAACGAAAAGAACTCGCTGGACTGAAAAAGAAAAAGAAGTAGTGCTTGAAGCATTTGCTAAACATATGGAAAATCTGACTCTGCCATCTTTAAAAGAGATTCAAGAAATAAAAAAAAAAATACTTTATTGGCTCGTAGAACGTCACCCCAAATAAAAACATGGATCCATAATAAACAAAAAACTCTAAAACGTACATGTAAGTATTTTATTTTAGTAAATTTTATCTTATACATAATTTTAACTTATTTATTTAAATAATTGAATATTAAAGGAAAAGTTATTTTGTGATCCAACTATTAAAAGTTAGGCTTTAATCAATCCTTTTTTTCATTGATTTTAATGATGATTCCATTATCAAGGAACGCTGCAAGAGTCAAATTATAGAAACTTCCTAGTCGATCATGCAAAAAGTAGAGCAAGAAAAGAATTACTATTGCAGATATAATATAAGAATATAAAGAGACAGAACATAATAAGATTTTAGTTTAATTAATTTTTTTTCATTGATCTTAATAATTACATCATATCAACGCAAGAGTCAATAGATCGGAAGAGCACACGTC